GGGCTCGGAGCAACCTGGGCTGGTGGGAGGTGGTCCTGCCCAGGGCAGGGGGTGGCACTGGGTGGTCTTCAAAGTCCCTTCCCACCCAAACCATTCTGTGAGTCTATGATCAAACCATCCGGAAGCTCAGTGAGGACCAAAATGGCCAAGCCACCCTTTGCACAACACCTTTGGCACTGACAGCCTGAGGGGTGAAAGGAAGACAGGGCAGGAGGTGGCACAGCCCCTCCTTCCTCCTCCGTTGCTTAATTACCCTAAAAACCGGATCCTGCCGAAGCCGAAGCCATAAGCAAGCACGGCGCCAGCCGCCCCAGCAGCCGCGCAGGCAGGGAAGGGGCCTGGAGAAAAGCTCGGTTATTTGCAGCTCCGCTGCGAGCAGCCTGGCGTGGGGGGGCAGGAAGCTGAAGAGGGAAAAAAAAAACACCCAACAATTTGCAATTACGCGCTGGGAAAATTGAACAGCAGGAAGCAGGCAGTTAACATCATTCTGCACAAGACAAACAGGAGATGCACAGAAAAATATATGCGATTTTTAGAGGTCACTCAGAGCGCTTTTCAAGGAGCTTAATTGTATTTCTAATGAACTAGGAGGCAGCAGCCCCCATTACCTGTACCAGCACAGCCCTGACGTCTGCTGTTGTGCTCGGGCCCCCGCAGGGGAGCAAAGAGCTGCCCCAGCGCTCTCCAAACACCCCGGCTGCACTCCAGCCGCGGGATGGAGAGCCCATGGAGACGCCGCTCGCCCGGCTGGGAGAGGAACGGATTAAACCTCGTTAAGGGAATGATTAGGTCTATTGAGGAAATGTTCCCGTGGCAGGTGACAGCGGCGTGATGGGGAGCTGGAGGGCAGATGCAATGAGGCTGCGTGGGGAAGGCCATTACTGCTGCAGGGGGATGCAGGAGGGACATGGCGATGCCCAAACCGCAGTAGAAGCCCCCCACAGGCAGCACCCACGCAGCATCCATCCCGCCCTCCGCACAAAGCACCGGCTCCCCGCACCACGGGATGTGCCGAGCACGGCACAGGGGTGGAAAAGCACCTTTTGGCCCACAAACTAACCGCAGTCAGCAGTGAAACCACTGGTGGGTGATGTCCTGGCATGACAGGCGTTGCTCCGATCACGGGAACGCCACATCAAATTTGGGGTGGGGGGTGGTGACACTGCCCAGGTCCCTAATTTAGCTCCGGTATGCAGGGCAGCCTTCAGCTACAGCAGGATTTCTATTTCATGGCTTGCAACGAGGAGGCTGGGGTGGGAAAAGCACCTCGTGTTTCCCTGAGGTTCAGGAAGAGTGAGCTGCCCCCATCCCACCCAGGAGGGTACCAGCCTGGGGACACTGCCCCCTCCCACCGCCTTCAGCGCAGCTTCAGAAGTGGGAGATTTTGACACCGCAGTGATGTGGAGCACAACCAGAGTTAACCCTTCGCAGAGGGGAGAGGGCAGCGGATGGCCGACCTGATGGAAACCCCCGCAGCTGCTCTCCCTTCAGCTGCTCCGTCTCTGTTATCTCCCGTTCCCCTTCCATGGGGGGGAGAGCTCCCTGCAGATCAAACTCCCCATCATTTCGGATGGGAAACGCTGCACTCCCTGGAGCTCACGCTGGAGCAGAGGCTCCAGCACCGACCGGGGCGGCAGCCGAGCCCGGGCACCGCAGGGGCAGTAACCGGATCCCCGAGTTACACAAGCGTCCCTGGGACAAGGGCAGCGCTGCGGAGGGGACTCAGCCACCCCCTTTGAGCAAAACCACGTTTCAGGCACAGAGGAGCCCATGCGTGTCCCTTTACAGGGATTAGGTGCTTTAGATGTTAGCTGCGCAGATGGCACAGCGCTCTCAACCTCTTCCCATCCTCAGCGCATGTGTCCCAGTGTCCCTTCAACACCGCGTGGGACAGGGGACAGCCGCAAGAGCTGTGTCACCCCAGAGCTCTGCACCATCACATCTCCGCTTCCCACGGGGGCACGTGCCCGCAGGAACAGAGGGAGAGTCGGGAAAGGGTCACCCCATCCTCATCGCAATTCGGGAGGAAACGCAGCTTTCAGCCCCGTTTCAGCTCTCCTCGCGGCAGCTCGACACCGCCGAGACTGCGGCAGACGGCGTCTGCTGCCATCCCGCGCCTCGGCTCAGCCCAGCGCCCCCAGCAGCCTTTACACGCTGCCAGAGAAATTAGTTACGTGCAAAGCCAAACACACTCGTCAGCTCCACTAAACCCCTCGAGTGGGGGGCTCCAAACCGGCCCCATCGGCGCACGGCACGGCCCCCACGTGCTCAGGACCCCCCCGGCAGCGAAAGGCTCCTCCCGGGCTCCCCCAGCAGCTCCGGGTTCTTCTCCACCTTTGAAAGACAAACCCTGGAAGCGCCTCCTGGAGACAAAGCCGCTCATCGGGGTGTCTGCAGGGGGACGGCACCCACCCGGCAAACCCAAACCCCGGCAAGCTGCCTCCGCCGCACCGAAACAGGGCTGCACACCCAG